TGCATGTCTAAAATCTCAAATGCTCGGGAGGCAGAGGCAGGAGGATTGCAAGTTCAAAGCCAGTCTGAGCAACTTAGTGAGACACTAAGATTTTGCATAAAGCTGTGGTTCTGTGAGTCTTTTGTGATGGCTCCTGTTAGCAGGCAGTTGTGGTTCAGGATGCCTGCTTCCTAGCACCCTGCCAGTCCTGCTGTGTTGGAATGGTGCCATTTTGATGGAAAACTTTCACCATTAGCTTCACCTATAAGTACACAGGAGTTCATGGCTGATAGACATCCTCAGCAAGGACACAACCAGTGTTGGTTTCCTTGAGTTGTCTGAAACTGATGGCAATAGTTTGGAGTGTGTATGGTTGTAGGACAGTGTTTGAAACTCTTTAAAACCAGGAAACAAGCATGGGGACTATGAAAGGACCACTGGCCAGTGGCCTAGGGATAGGTATGCTCATCCTGCTTTCTTGCTAAATTATTTATTTTTCATACCAAAGATTGAACACAGGGGCACTACACCACTGGATGCCCAAAGCTCTGTCCTTGTCCATGATAACAATCCAGTAACAAGTATACAGTTTTGAGAAAAAGGAAAAAGAATGTTTATTACTTTGCTCACAAAGGAGGAACCCAGGGGACCTGTCCTAAAGACTGTTATTCTGCCCATCAGCAGGAAGAGGTTGTTTGTAAAGAGATGTTTCAGAGAAAATGAGATTAGAGAGAAACCAGGAAGGAGATCAGGAAAAAGAAGATCAGGGAGGAGAAGGTTAAGGAGGAGATTTGGGGGAAAAAAATGTAAGTTCCAAAGCCACAAGGGATATATTCGAAGCATCAAGGAAACCCCTATTCTGCACTTAACCACATCCCCAAACCCCACATTTTGGAGGAACTAGGGGTTGAACACAGGGTTGTTGGACCACTGAGCCACATCCCCAGCCCCTTTCATGTTTTATTTTCAGACAGTGTCTCACTAACTTGCCCAGACTCTCCTTGAACTTGCAATCCTCCTGCTCAGCTCCTGAGTTGGTGGACTTAAGAGTGTGTGCCACCGTGTCCACTACAATCCACATTTTTTAAACCCCCACAAATTGTGTTCAGTAAAAGAACAAAGTACCACTAATCACTTTTTCTTTCTTTTTTTTTTTTTTGGTACCAGGTGATGAACCCAGAGACAGTGAACTGCTGAGCCACATTTCCAGCCTTTTTTTCCCCTTTCTTTCTTTTCATTCAATAAATACAACCTAAAGGAAAGAATAGTTTAATTATAGAGTGTGAAAGGCAATTAGGCCTCTCCTATTATTCAGTCCCCTGATTTCTGAAGCTTATTGCATTGAGGTAAGATGAAACATTGGACTGATCCATTGAGAAATTAATAGAGACAAATTCCCTGCATTACTGAAACCTAGGCACTGAATGAATTTTACCAGCTTCATTCTTACTAACTTATTTCACAGAAATGCCCTTAGTGGCCCCAGGGGTGTAGGTCTCTCTATGCAGACACCAAGCAGATGGCAGAGCTGCTGTGCTTCTAATTCTCGAGTCTGCTCTTCCTGATTCTTTGTCATCTTCTGTAACTGATGTCTCTGTTTGCTTGTGCCTCTTCTCACACTTCTGTGCTACTGCCTCTCTTGTCTGGGCTCTGAGGCTGTAGGGTATGCATCCTTGGACTCATTCAGCCTTGCATTGAATATGGTTGAAAATAAGTGCATCTGGGCTGAATGTGTAGAGACTTTTTCTTGTCATTATCCTCTAAGCAGCACATTGTAAACCACTATGTAATATTCCCATTGTATGCAGTGACATAAGGAAGGTTGAGGTGATTTAAAGCACACAGGAGAATGTGCATAGTTTAGGTCCATAGCAGGAGGAACCCCCGGGCAGTTATAAAGCATGGGGATTCTTCAGCATGCTCCCCAACAACAATGGGTCATTGAAGAAATCAAAATGAAAGTGTAAAATGCCTGCAGACCAATGAACAGGGCCACACAAAATATTCAAACCTGTGGACACAATAAAAGTAATTCTAAGTGGGAAGTTTCCAGCAAGAAATACCTACATTAGGAAAAAATCTCAAATAAATGGACCAGTACTGCATGTCAAGGGACTGGAAGTCCCTGTCAAGTCCATGTCAAGCATGGACTATGCTCCCGATTAGTAAAATTGGGAGAAGATATGAGTTAATTAAACTTCACAAGTAGCTTGATTCCAGACATGTGCCACTCAAACCAGCTTTTCATCCTTGTTATTGACTTGGGGACCAGGCATTGCACCCAAGGGTGCTTTTCCACTGAGCCACACCCTACGGGGGGATTTTGAGACAGGGTCTCACAAACTTGCTTACAACTTCACTAAATTGATGAGGCTGGCTTTGAACTTACCACCCTCCTGCCTCAGCCTCTTGGGCTGCTGGGACTAGAGCTGAGCACCACCAAGCTGGCTTTTGCAGTTGTTTTTGGAAAATAATCTTTGAGGACATCAATTTTACATACCTGTGCATACCAATTAAAGAATGCATTCCATTGTTTTCATGTGGGTTCTGATTCTTTCTTTTTGAATATTTCAACCAGGTAGATAGCTCTATTCCAATTAACCTTCCCAATATGGTCACATCATTTTTGGACTTATTTATTTGTTTACTTATTTCTGTGATGCTTTGGATGGAACCCAGGTCCTTCCACATGCTAGCAAGTGCTCTACCACTGAGTGATTCCCCAGCTCCCTGAATTAGCTTTGATGAAGTTCACTCATTTCTCTAGAAAAGCATGGGTTCTGGGTTCTTAGACTGTACAGGTGAAATTGGCCAGTGTTCCAGAAGGGGTTCTACACTGTTTTGATGCAGATGCACAAAGAACTCCACATCTTTCAGTAGCCGCTCCAAGTGTTATAGTTAAAGCATCCTCCTGGGGTTTCACAGATTGATTTCTAAACCACTCACATATAATTGAATCAAGCCTTTATTGAAGCACACAGATGACAACTTAACCACAACATAAAGCTATTCCCCTGATCAGCCCCAAACAATTGCAAGGTTGCTCCTTATAAGCCTGAAAACCACAAAAGGGGTGTTTGGGGTTCCAGCCAATGCAAGCAAGCCAAGTTACAGAAGCAGGAAAGTGCAATCAGGTGGAGGGATGCTCAGCCAATCACAATTAGCCCAGTCAATCCAGTTACAGAAACAGAGTCCCGTTCCCTGGTTACAGAAACAATGGCCCATTAGGTAGTTCCGTGTTCTTAAAGGTTTCTATAGCCAAAGGAAAAGAACATCTTGCCTTGGTCATGACCCTTCTACTTGGCATGGTTGTTTTACAAGATGGAGTCACAAAACAATATGGAGTCACTTTGGCTGGACTATCACACAAGGAGTGGAACCCAGTCCCATCTGCCTGACCCAGCCACCCTTACACACCCGGTCCTGCTTGTCATGATATCCTACATTTGTGTGCTGTCTCACAGCACAAATGAACCTAAAGTCAAAAATGAGCAGCTCAAAGAGAGTTGAGTGCTTTATCCCTCAGGCTCTGGGAAGACTAAGAGCCCTCACAAGCCTTCCAGTGTTCAAGGGGTCTGGAGACACCAGAATATCTTCAAATCCCTTTTTAGTCATGATAACTCTTAAAAGAACAAATGATGACAGATCTCATTTTGCATATCTTTGGCTTTATTTGAACCTAGAGTTCAGCAGCAGTGCAGAACAAATGCTGCTCAGAACCTTCCTCCTGCCATGTGTGCAATTTAGACTTAGAGCCACAGAAAAGAAACTTCCATGAAGAGGGGGGTGAGGCACATAGTTCACTGTTTGGGGGACAGATGAGCTGGTGTGCATGGCCCAGACTCTGCTACCAGTTCCAAGAGTGAGCTGCAGTCTGCTTATATATCCAAGTGGGTTGCAGTTCACTATGTGTGGAGAGTTATTCAAGCCATAATTAAAACGCGTTCACAGGCAGCTTTAGGACACCTCAAATGAAGACTGAGTGGACCTCGTTCTCATCCTTGGATGGGAAGCTAAGGCTAAGGTCGCTGCCCAAGCCCATCAGCCCAGTCCTCAGTGGAGGGAAGTGTTAGGGGAAGGTCTGTCAGTTATGTGCAACCCCCGCCCCACCAGAGCTTGTAATTTATTCAGTTTCATTTTGAAATATTTGCAAGTGTTATCTACCTATATGATTCTACTATTTTGCTGAAAGAGAATTTGGATACCTTCAATGGGCACCAATAGTTTGAGGACAGACTACCTAGGTGGATGACAGGCAACGTTTGGTGAGACCCAGAGGCTCTGATCAAAGTACAGCATGGACACCTCCTGGAGGTACTGGGAGCCGGCCACTGGGGCCTGTCATATGCACAGATATCCTTGCCCAGCACATTCAGAGACAGTGACCTGAGGTTTCTGGGTCTATATGAAGATCCACGAGGAAGGGCAGTGTTGAATGTCTGGATGGCACTGAGGTCCTGTGAGAAGAGGTTTTCTTGCCTTGGCTTATGTTCAGTGCCTATGTAGAATGTTCCAGGCCACCTGTGTGTCCCTGCATGTGTTAAGCCACAGAGTAGCCACACATCATGACCATATTTCAGTTTGGTCCCTTGACTTCCTGGGGCTGAACCTCATTGTTTACCAAGTACCCAGGGCCATCTTTCTCCTGGAGAATCCCAAGGTTTCATCAGAAAGCCAGGTAAATCCATCACAGAGAACATCAGAAGACTAACCTTGAAATTCCCTTCATTTCTCACTATTTATGGACCATCCATGAAACACAATAGCTTCTTCCTGTTCCCATCAAGCCTGAATCCCATTCTAGAAATCCAGGTCCCTATGTATGTCTCTATGAAGACACATGTCCTGAAGGTCCTATCCTCGGGGGGCTTCCTTCCAATGGAGCCCCCTGCTGCACTTTCTTTTCCCATCCACACTTCAGGCAGTGTCTAAAATGGTGAGCTCTGAGTTCCCTCTAAGATGACCTTACATCCTGGGTATAGCTCCAATTGCCTAGAAGTACGCTTTTAAAACACACGCAACTAGGCAGCTGTTGGACAGGAACACTGAAGGAGGCCCTTGTTGTAGAGGAACATGCTGCCACATTGAGGACATGGGACAGCACAGAACACAAGGACCTTTGGCTGCCTAAAGTCCCTCACTATTGCTGTGAGCTCAGCACAGAGTTGGGAACATCTCCCAGGGTGGATGTCACCATGGGCATCATAGCTCTCCAGAGGGGCAGGGTATAGCTCTCTGCTCAACTGGCTCAGCATGGCAGTGTGAAGCAGCAGGTCCCTTAAGGCTGACATGGAGATGTGGTTCCCATGGAAGTTCAAAACCCTGAGCTGGGAGCAGCGGCTCAGGACAGGCAGCAGGGCCTGGAGCTGGGAGTCAGTGATCCTGCAAGATTCCAACTCCAGGCTCTTCAGGGTGGCTACAACAGTCTCCAGCAGAATTTTGAGGGGCTCTGGACTGAAATTGGTCAGTTTGATGCGCCTCAGTTCCACGTGTCTGAGCTTTCTGGTGTTTGGAAATTGTGAAAGATAATTCCAGTCAGAATCTGACAGCAGGCAGTTGGTTATTGAGAGAGTCTTCAGGGGGGTCTTCAGGTGCCTAAGGAGAAACCAGGCAGTTAGTTCTGAGGAGCAATGTCAAGGTGGGAGAAGATAAATTGGCCCAAATCCAAAGTCACTCTGGTCATGTGACAATGGTCCACACTTAGGATGCTGCCTTTTGCAGAATCTGGTCATTCACATCACCCCCATGTCAGGGCGAGGTTCACCATCACTCCTGTGAACAGATGGGTGCACATCTGTATGGCTCCCCTCCTCACTGCCAAGCAGAAGAGCACAGCTCTGTCCACAGGAGATCAGGGGGAGTCATCTAAAAAGGATAAACCCAGACAAGATGAAGGAAACCACAGTAGTTGTCCACCTGCAACGCTCACACCCTGTATCCTCCATCCCTGCTCCTCACCCTCAACCCCAGAATCACCATCTGAGGCTCAGAGCAGCCTTCCCCAGGGGGGCATTAGAAGAAGCTCCTCTGCTCCCCACTGGAGAGCACAGAGCTTCCCTGTTGCAAGGTGCAGGTGTCGGGGCTTCCCTCTGCCAGCGCCCTCTCCTCTACACCGTCTCCCACCACCTTCGCTGGATAGGCCTCCCAGAAAAGGATCCTCACCCACCCTCACTAGCTTCTGTCCCCCCCACAGCTGCCTTACAAGCAGAGTTATGCTTCCCAGACCATGGGCCCTGGTTTAGCCCTTTGCTCTAAAACAGGTTAGGAGATCGAGCTTCAGGATACAAAAGGAACAGATGAGGGGTTATTTACCTTCCTATGTCTTGTTCACCATGAGAGTGTTAGTGGCTGGCACACAGTAGATACCCTTTCATATTTACTGATACTGGTCTGAAGAGGATGCTCACCCCCCTTACTCACCCCAGCACCTGCTCCAGGTGGCCCTTGAGGAGGAGGACAGCATCCACACAGAACGTCTGCAGGCAGTCCAACCTGAGGAACTGCGAGGTGAGCTGGGCAAGCAGCCGCTCCTGCTCCTCTGGGGAGATGTGGGCAGGCACGCGGACCTGGGAGACAAGCAGCTTCCTCAGGTTCCTCATCTGGCCCAAGAAAGAAGCACAAGCAGCCAAGGTTGAGGTTGCCCAGGTACAGTGCACTTCCACCTTCTGGACACAGTCCAGCTGCAGCAGTCTCAGGACCTTCCTAGTGTGGCGGGTGGGTTTCCCAAAGATCTTCAGCCTCTTGCAACACAGGTGTACCATGTCCCTCCTCCGTGTGACCCACAGGAACAAATGGGCCTGGAATTCATCCAGGGGCCTTTATGTGAGGCACAAGTCTATGACTACCGTCAAGCGTGGCTTAGCTGCCATTGCTAGACCATGTTTCAATTTTCGATTCTTCTTTATGGCCTCTGATGAGCAGGCATCAACCATGGCTCCAGACCACATCCTCCAGAAGTTGTAGTGAACATTCCGCAAATCCAGCACCTGCAGTTTCCACCTCCTACGGGGATGACAGCAGAGTCTCAGCCCTGAAGCCCCTTCCTTCACCTCTCAGCTGCTGCTCCATGCTACACCTCTTCCTTCTGTCTCACTTTTCTCCACCCACTTCCCTCCAATCATGACTGGCCACCACCTGTACCAGCTGAGTTAGAAGCAGGTGCAGCCTCCTTCATGGGTCACCACAGCTGCCACAAGCACCTCCACATCCAGAAGCCCCTCCCAGATGGGGCTCAGCAGGGCCAAGGCCTCTCCACCCCTCCTTGCTGGCAGAGTAGGAAGCCCTTGGTCCACCCTTCAATACCCACTCTCCCTGGATCCATCAGTCCCTTCCTTGAACCCCCAGGGTGTTCCCTTCCAGGTCACCTGGGTCCCCCTCACCTGGGGCGATCCTCCTGGGCAAGCAGCATGTCCAGCCCATCCAGTGCCACTCGGATCATCTCCAGCTGTGGCTTCCTCATCAGGGCCCCCAGAGGCAGGCAGGTGAAGGGCCAGGCCTGCACCATTTTCTTCAGGACCTCAGTGTGTCCCCTGCTGAAGGCCTCCACAAAGAGTGGTGGGAAGAGCTCTATGGGCAGGTCCTCCAGATCCAGGACAGCCCTGGACTTCTCACTCAGCAGGCTGCGCCCTGCCAGCTCCAGCAGCGTGGGTGGGGACTGGATGCTCATCCTGGGGAGTCTGAAAGAAGAAGGATCCTGGAAAATGGTCCAGGGAAAAGGCCACTATCCAATCCATTGCCAGCCACTGGGAAGGAGGTATAGGGAGTCTAAAAGCTCACATCACCCTCATGGGGGAAAGCCTTTGATTATTATTTTGTCCTAATACATAGGGAGTTGGAGTGTCATGTAACCTAATGCAGTGATAGGCTCCTCAGATTCAGCAACTGCTATGGCTGGGAAAGGACATATCCTCACATAGATGACATTAGTATGTGTTTTTTTTTTCCCATAGATGGACACAACACAATGCCTTTATTTATTTATTTTTTTATTTTTATGTGGTGCTGAGAATTGAACCCAGGTCCTGCATTTGCTAGGCAAGCACTGTATTGCTGAGCTACAATCCCAGCCCGGGTGACATTAGTTTTAATTTTAAAATCATTAAATGAGCCATTATAATAGCACGTGCCTATATTATAAAATATTTGGAAATTACCACAGAGTTTCATGGATATCTGTTACCTATGAGAGATTCTCCCACCTTAGGGGGGAGTTGAAGAGAACAAATAGATCAGAATAGAGTCTGTGAAGTGTTGCATGAGATAGTTTTAAGCTTTTGTGTAATTTGTTTAAACAATCAATAAAATTGCAAAACCACGTAGGCCATAAGGCATAATTTTGGGGACTGGGACTGGGTATTGAACTCAGAGCAGTCAGCCACTGAGCCACATCTCCAGCCATATTTTGTATTTTAGTTAGATACAGCGCCTCACTGAGTTGCTTAGGGCCTCACCATTGCTGAGACTGGCTTTGAACACCAATCTTCCTGCCTCCTCAGTCTCCTGAGCAGATTGGATTACAGGCACATGCCATCTTGCCTGGCAATAAAGTTTCATTTTAAGGGCACACAAAGTAAATATCTTAAATGTCAAATAACAGTATTCCAATAATTAGAATGATATAGAATTTCAATCATTCTCTTTGGTTAAATAATATTAAAGCGGCTTTGGCTGGAACTCAGTAGTGAAGCAGTCGCCTAACATGTGTGAGGTCCTGGGTTTGATTCTCAGGGGCACATAAAAATAAATAAATAATGCACTGGGGATAAAACTCAGTGTGTAGAGTGCTTGCCTCACATGCACAAGGCCCTGGCTTTATTCCCCAGCACCACCAAATACATAGAAAGATTCATAAATGTGTTGTGTCCCTCTCAACTAAAAACAAAAACAAAACAGAAGAAGATGTGGGCCTTTTGCAAATGCCTGTGATTCTAGCAGCTGGGAAAGCTGAGATAGGAGGGTCACAGTGAGTTTCAAGGCCAGCCTCAGAAGAGTAGGTGCTAAGCAACTCAATGTGACCCTGTCTCTAAATGAAATAAAAAAAATAGGCCTGGCAATTTGGCTGAGTGGTTGAGTGCTCTGAGTTCAATCTCTGGAACAAAAGGAGAGAAAGAAAGAAAATTGAAAGCAACATAAACTAAAGTGGAACATAAACTAAAGTTCAGCATAAAGTTAAAATCACACTGAAAGGAAAAATCTAAGTCTTAAATTCATGCATAAGTAAAAATCAAATACAAAATTGTTCCTGCCTCCGAGCAGATGAGGCAGGAACAGGGTAGTGCTCAAAGCGGTGACTTACAGGATCTGGGCGGATGGGCCAGGCTGGGATCCTCAGCATGCCAGGGTTGGACTCCTGGGCTCCAGGACTCTTGTGTTTGTCCTCTGGCTCTGAAGAAGCTTTTATTGATCTCCCTGACCACGCCCACAACTCCACCTTTTGACTAGCATGCAATCAGATAGAAGTATCTGATCACATTCCCAATCTCCACCCATGTAACCCTGATTGGATTTTCTTTCTCGAGATTAACTGATTGAGTGGGATTTTCATGCATGAGCACAGAATAAGGGAGAGTGAAGGTCAGGGATGCCTCTGTCCACTCCATAGACTGAATGTTGCCCATATGTGACCCTCCTGTTCCTGCCTGTGAGTCAGAAAAGCCCTTAATCCCTAAACTAAGAAAAACTAAAACTCCAAAATATATTGTAAGGGAAACCTTAGCCCTATCAAAATTATTTAAAAAATAATTTTAAAAAATTCCAGAGAGAAAACAGGTTTTTTAAGAAAGTAGCATCACCAGTGAAGAAAACAGAATGGCCACCAGATATCCAACTGCCAACAGTCACATAGGTATCCAGTTACTGTACAGCACATCTAGGCCCACTCAGAGAGGAGGCATGGACAAGGAGGGTGGAGTCAGTCTTCAAGGCTTAGGGAAAGACTTCTTCAGTTTGTCTCTTTGTACTGGGGATTAAACCCATTGGTGCTCTTCCGCTGAGTCACATCCCCAGCCCTTTCTATTTTTTTTAATTTAAAGACAGGTCCTCAGTGAATTGCTTAGTTCCTCACTAAGTTGCTGAGGCTGGCCTCAAACTTGCCATCCTCTTGCCTCAGTCTCCTTTTAATTTTTTAAAACAATGTATGTAGGTACCGACTATATTTTTATTTTTCTTTGGCACTAGGGATGGAACCTAGGGGAGTTGTACCACTGGGCTATATCCCCAGCCCTTTTCATTTTATTTCAATTAATTAAATTATTCATTTATGTAGTTTTGGTACCGAGGATTGAACCCAAAGGCACTGAACCACTGAGCTACACTGCCAGCCTATTTAATTTCTATTATTATTATTTTTTTTATTTTAAGACAGGTTCTTGCTAAATTGCTGAGACTGGCCTCGAATTTGAGGTCTTCTGGCCTTAGCCTCCTAAGTAGATGGGAGTGTAGACCATCAAACCCCATTTCAAATTAAAAGTTTTAAAAGGTTCAGCATTTACCTAGCATGTACAAGGCCCTGGGTTTGATCCATAGCACCAAAAATAAATAAATAAACCTATAAATCCAAAACCTGTGTTCAAGTATAGTTGTTAGAGGTTGTTTGTTTTTTCTTTCCATGAATCTGATTGTAGTTACTTTTAGGAAAAAATCCAAATGGTAACTTATAAGATAAACACTTAGAAGAGCCATGGTTAAAAATCTGTTGGCAATATGCTATAATCAGCTGTTAACAAGGCGATTTGGTTGTTTTAATATAGTATCCAGAATTATGTCTGGTAATATGTTAGTTTTTTTAATGAATTTAGTGCAATTTTGAAGCAAATATTAATAAACAGCCAAATAAATATAACTTGAAAAAACTATGTCTTATTTGAGAGGGTTTCCCATCATATCAAATTATGTTAGTTGGGTTAATGTCTCTCTTCTAGAAATCCCTTGAGAATTTCTGGAGCCCTCCATAATATCTCAATGTTAGCTCAAGGTCAAGTGACAATGTAGAATTTGATCCTAGAGAAGTTAGTGAACAACCTCAAAAGGTTTAAAGCACTTAGTGAAAGTAGGGTCTTAGATCATTATAAAAGATAAGTCATTTAGCCAGAGTGATGAAAGATTTTGAAAGCTAATACAGAAAGTTATATCATAGGAAATAGTACTTCAACTTTTATCCGAGATGACTAAGCTTTCATTTGTTTCAAGTAATCAGAGACCTTGTTGAAACCAAGGTAAAACTCCAGAGACTGAAGGTTCAAAGCCAGCCTCAGCAAAAGCAAGGCACTAAGCAACTCAGTGAGACCTTGTCTCTAACGAAAATAAAAAATAGGACTGGGGATAGGGCTCAGTGGTCGAGTATGCCCCTGAGTTTAATCCCAAGTTTGTGCCCCCACCCCACCCCCCAAATAAAACCTAATCTGAAGCATAAAATGTTACCTCCCCCCAGTAATGAGCATTGAACTAGGGGCACACTACCACTAAGCCATGTGCCGAGTCATTTTGGTTTTATTTTGAAACAGGCTTGACAAATTGCCAAGTCTCATCTGAATCTTACCATCCTCCTGCTCAGCCTCCTGGGAAGCTGGAATTACAGGCATGGCCCACTTCACCTGTCTTGAAATGCACTTCTTAGAGTGTAGCTCTTTGTCAGCTGTTCATCTGGAACATTCACATGAAAGCCATCACAATTTTTAATTATCTTTGGTATCACTTGCCCACCAATTTCAAAATGTACTTGAGAATGAACCATAATAGTCTCAGCTGGAGTGTAGAAGAAAGTCTCTTCTGGAGTTCCTTGGAATTTTGGGTCCCATTCTGTGTTTTATTAATCTCTTCAGAACCAAAGATAAAATCTTATGATCTTGTTTGGAAAGTCAGGGGTTTGGAAGCATTTCTTTTGTATAAGGTGGTGGTTTTGGCAGAGTCCTCCTGAAAGTTCCTTTGATCAAACTATCAGGCTTAAGGACCTTCTCCTGTCTGGTCCCCTGGCCTCCACTTTTGTCAGATTTTGGTACAAATGAATTCATTTTGATTTGCAGACTTTCATGGTAGCAGCATCAGCAGAGACACTGTGGTCATGGAATATTCTAAGCCATGGTTAGAGTTGGCTTCCTTGAGTTGTGTAATTTGATGGCAATCATTGGCACACACATGGATGCTGGACTCTGTGTGTGTGTGTGTGTGTGTGTGTGTGTGTGTGTGTGTGTGTGTGTGTGTTGGTACTGGGGATTGAACCTGAAGCATTATACTACTGAGCTGCATCCTGAACAATTTTTCTTTTTTAATGAGAGAGGATCTCAGTATGTTACCCAGGCTGTCGTGGAAATTTTGATCCTCCTGCCTCAGCCTCCCAAGTTTCTGGGATTATAGGTGTGCATCTTGGTACCTGGCCATAGAGCATTTAAAACCCTTGAGAGACTACATTGCACCAGGGGGCAAGGACCATACCTATAAGATGAATGGTAGCCTTGGACTGTGAAATTCCTCTGGACAAAGCTTCCAGGGACCCCAGATTTGTCCAGCTGAATATGTCAGTGATGTAGAGTGTGCTCTTTTATAAAGGGCTCTAAAGTCTTTTTTAAAAACAATTAGATTTTTATCAGAAATGTCACTTTTTACTAGTTAGGGCACAAGTGACTTCCTGATGAACAGCAGGTCAAAGAGATCACTTCTCTGGAGTCCTCC